ACATACACAAAACACTGAATGCTAGAAACCAACAGCTAAGAATACTGTATCCCGCAAAATTATTTTTCAGATATGAAGGGGAAATAAAGGCTGTCCTAAACGTACAAAAGCTGTGGGAGTGCACAATCACTAGCCTTGCCTCGGGTTGAAAGGAGCTCTTTGGCCTGAAACAAAAAGGTGTAAGCACACAAAGTTGAGTAAGATGACAAATAAACAGAATCAGAAAATTGCAAAACTATCTGAGAATACGGTGTTAAACACTGAATTACAGCATAAAGGTTAAAGGGGGGAAAAAGCATTAAAAATAACCACAGCTACTTCAATTCAGTGATAATCTCACAAAAAAAAAAGAAGAATTTGTGAAAACTGAAATGTAAAAAAGGAGGAGTAGGAGGACAAAATCTGTATAAGCAAATGAAGATAAGATGTTATTTGCAGAAAAGAACTATTTTATCTATGACATATTTTTATACAAACCTCATTCTAATCACACACACATACAGAAACCATCTAGAGCAGAGACATACCACATAACAAAAGAGAGGAAACTGAGGAAAAACATCAGAGAAAACCACTAAACTAAAATGGCAGACAAAAGTATAAGGAAAATGAAACAATGGAGATAACAGATCAATCAGAAAATAAAAGATAAAATGGCAGTAGTAAGTCTTCTTATATCAATAATTACCTTAAATGTAAATGACTAGAACTAACTACAAAATGGAATAAAGTGTGGTTGGATGGATTATAAAACAATGCCCAACTACTTGTTGCCTTCAAGAGGTCCATCTCAGCTTTAGAGACAAACATAGGCTTAAAGTGAATGGGTGAAAGATGATCCTCCAAGCTCATGTTAGCCAAAAGAAAGTGGGTATAGCCATATTTATCAAAGACAAAATAGATTTCAAGCCAAAATGGTAACAAAAGTCAAGATGGTCACTGTGTAATGATAACGGAGATTGCATCAGGAAGACATATACAAGGGTCCAGCAGAAGTAACGCCTACCTGAGTGTGGTTGGTAGGGTAATAATATGGGTGTCATAACTTACAGTCTTAATTTGGACATTTTACCTAAAATGTCAAATGGTGTGCTTGAGCGTGATATTGTTATGCTATAGAATTTCATGCTTATGATTTAGTAATAAAAGATTTTGTAATAAAAAGGGGTGTTATTTGTGCCAGACCCTGTATTTATTAATACAAGTGCACCCAACACAGAAGCACCAAAATATATAAAGCAACTATTAAGAGACCTGAAGGGAGAAATTGATAGCAACACAATAATAAGAGGGGACTTTAACACCACTTACATCATTTAGACAAAGAATAAAAGGAAACCTTAGCCTTAAATAACAAATTAAACCAAATGAATTTAATAGATACATAAAGGACATTCTATCCAAAAGCTCCAGAATACAGTTTTCTCAAATGCACGTAGAATATTCTCAAGGATAGGCCATATGTTAAAATAAAACAAGTCTCAATAAATTTAAGAAGATTGAAATCATGTCAAGTATATTTTCCATGACAATGGTATAAAAATAGAAATTACCCAGAAAAAGAAGAGTGAAAAATTACAAATAGATGGAGATTAAACAATATGCTACTGAAAAACTATTGGCTCAAGGAAGAAATCAAAGGAAAGAAATACAATAGAGACTAAAGAGATGGCAGGGAAAAAAGTCAATATAACTGAGCTGCTTTTTTTTTTTTAGGAAAAAGATAAACAAAATGACAAACCTTTAGCTAAACTCACTAAGGGAAAAAAAAAGAGAAGGCTCAAATAAATAAAAATCAGAAACAAAAGAGTAATTACAACAGATACTACAGTTGACTTCTATCAATAGCAATAAGACAACAAATTGGAAAAGTTAGAGAAAATGGATGAATTCTTAGAATCATACCACCATCTTAGACTGAATCATAAAGAAATAGAAAATATGACTAAAATAATTGCGGGTAAGGAGATTAAAATCTCCAAGAAAACAAAAGTCCAGGACCAGACTCTTTCATTGGTGAATTTGACCAAGGAACCAAAGAAGATTTAATGCTAGTCCTCCTCAACTCTTCCAAAAAATTGAAGAGAAGGGAATGCTTCCTAATTTATTGTATGTCACCAACATTACATTGGTATCCAAACCAGAGAAAGACAAAACACAAGAAAAATTACATGACAGTATTTCTGATGAGCCTACAGGGTGGGCAAAAGTCGGTTTATAGTTGTAACAACTAAATAATGCAATAATAAATAATAATACAAAAGTAAACTATTTTGTTCCTCTTAACTATAAGCCTACTTTTGCCCACCTCTATAAGTGGAAAAATTCTCAACAAAATATTAGCATAATCAACAGAGCAATTACAGAATGCAACAAGACATTGTTGAAAGAAATTGAAGGAGATACAGAGAAATGGAAAGATATCTTGTGCTCATGGACTGAAAGAATTAGCACTGTTAAAATGTCCATGTTACCTAAAGCAATCTACAGATTGAATACAATTCCTATTAAAATGTCAATGGTGTATTCCATAGAAATAAAACAGAAAATATGAAAATTTGTATGGAACCACAAAAGACCCTGAATAGTCAAAGCAGTCCTGAGAGAAAAAATAACAAAACTGGAAGTATGATACGCTCTGATTTCAAACCATACCACAAAGCTGTAATGAGCAAAACAGTGTGGTATGGGTAGAAGAACAAACATATAGATCAGTGGAAGAGTAATGAGACCCCAGAAATAGACCCACGCAAATATGAACAACTAATTTGTGACAAAGGAGCCAATAACATACAATGGAGAAAGAAAAGTGTTATCAAAGACTGGTTTTGGGAAATCTAAATGGCCACATGCTAAAGAATGAAACTAAACCACTACCTTACATCATAAATAATCAAAATAGATTAAAGACTTGAATGTGAGATCGAAAGCCATAAAATATATAGAAGAAAACACAGGTGGTAAGCTCCTTGACATTAGTCTTAGTGATGTTATTTGTAGATTTTACTCCAAAAGCAAGGGAAACATAAACAAAGATAAACAAATGGGACTATATCGAACTAAGAAGCTTCTGCACAGCAAAGGAAAGCATCAACAAAATGAAAAGGCAACCTACTGAATGGGAAAAGACATTTGAAAATTATATACCCGAAAAGTGGTTAATATACAACCTATACAAAGAACTCAACAACAACAACAAAACCCCACAAACTCCAATTAACAAATGTGTATAAGATCTGAATAGACATTTTCCTGAAGAAGACATACAGATGGCTAACAGGCACGTGACAAGATGATCAGCATCACTAATTAGGTAAATGCAAACAAACACCACAATTAGATACCCCCTCACACCTGTAAGAATGGCTCTCCATAAAAAACAAAACTGCCATTTGTGACAACATGGGTGGACCTTGAGAATATTATGCTGAGTGAAATAAGTTAGTCATAAAAAGCTAAGAACCATAGGATTTCACTCACATGTGGGATGTAAAACTGAAACTCACAGACACAGACAACAGTATGGTGGTTACCAGAGAGACATGGGGGAGGGCGGGTAGTAAAGAGTGAACAGGCCAAACATGCGGTGATGGAAGATGATTGGACTTCGGGTGCTGTGCACACTATGCAATGTACAGATCACGCATTATGAAATGTACGCTTGAAACCTATATAACCCTATTAACCAATGTCACCTCAATGAATTTAATAATAATAAAGAAGACAGAAAATAGTAAGTGTTGGAGAATATGTAAAAAAAGGAAACCCTCATACAATGTTGGTGGGAATGTAAATTATTACAGCCACTATGGAAAACACTATGAAGATTTCTGATACGGCTGAGAACTACCATACAGTCCAGTTATTGTACTTCTAGAGAATACAAAAACATTAATTCAAAAAGATGTATTATGTTCATTGCAGCATTATTTATAATAGCCAATATATAGAAACAACCTAAGTATCCACTGATGAATTAATGGATAAAGATGTGATATGCATAGTTGACTGCTGAGACTAACACAGGTTTGAACTGTGCATGTCCACTTATACACATTTTTTCCAGTAATGAATTCTCTCTTCCTTATTATTTCATTAATAACATTTTCTTTTCTCTGGCTTATTCTTTTCTGAAGGAATACAGTATATGATACAATACATATACAAAATGTGTGTTGACAGACTTTATGTAATCGGTAAGGCTTCCAGTCAACAGTAGGCTATTAATAGCTAAGTTTTTGGGGAGTCACAAGTTATACACACATTTTTGACTGTGCAGAATGTTAGTGATCCCTGCACTGTTCAAAGGTCAACTGTATTTATAATGGAATATTACTGAGCCATAATAAAGATGAAATCTTGCCATTTGCATCAACGTGGATGGACATTGATGGTATTATGCTAATTAATAATCAGCATAATAAAATAAATCAGATAAAGAAAGACAAATACCATATGATTTCACTTAGGTGGAATGAAAAAAGCAAAACAAAACAAAAACAAACTCATAGAGGCAGACATCGGATTGGTGGTTACTAAAGGGAAGGTGGGGTGGAGGGAGGGCGAAATGGGAACAGGTGTCAATTGTATGGTGACAGATGGAAATTAGACTTAAGGTGGTGAGCACGTTGCAGTATATACATGTGTTGAGTTATAATTTTTTAGACCTAAATGTTATGTACTGTTACAAACCCATGTTATCCCAAAAATGATCTGTCTCCTTTCTTCATGAGTGTAAACTTAAATTGAAAGTAGTACAGGTCATTTCTATGAGAGTGGCAAGAAATTATTCAGTGTTGCTTTTTTATTGACAGATGGGATTTATGTCTATAGATCAAACTATTAGAATATATATTTGTATCGGAAAATAACCTTAGATAGATATTCCTAAGCTACAAGACAAAGGACATTTTAGATATTTTAAAATTTAACATTATTGTATGGAAGCTAGTGCTTCTGTTTATGGAAGCACAAATTAAAACCCTTCAGGAAGCACTTACCCTTTTCTGTTCTTTCACATACTCTATCAATTCATCTCTTGCTCTTTTCACAGCCTCTTCCACAGCTTTTTCACTTTGCTTTTGCTCCTCTGCTATTGCTGCCTTAACAGTTTCCTGTTTGTGGGAGGAGGAAAAAAAGTCATGAAGTACATGCTATGACAAAATTTGTGTCCATTTTATATTAACTAAAAACCCTCAACGGTTTGAGCCCATTCTGTTCAAAACGTGTCTTTAAATGGGAATAAGAAGTTACAAAATATTTTGAGATCTGTTAGATTCCACGGAATGCACTTTTCTAAACTGAATGAAAGGGAAAAGAAATGGAATAAGCCATTTATTGCAGGGTGCGCCTGACAGACTCCAATGGCTTCCTTACCAACCTTTCATTTGATGTTTACATGATTGATTGCCTTCCTGTACTTTGCACTATCCACATAAGACTTCCAACTTGTGTTTATTCTTCCAAGAACACCCTAATGCTCTAGCTGTTTTATTCACGTTTAATTTTCCCATCATACAATAATCAAGTGTGGTCTGGGTGGTAAGATTTACAGCTCGTTTGGTCCTCCTGCCAGGTTAAGATGTTGAGAGCTGGACACCATGAATAAGAGGTAAAAATTCCACCCTCTGTGCTAATATTTGAAATGAGAAATCTAAGGAGAAAAATGGTACTCCCCATTTTACTGAAATAATAATCAGGTACCTAACAGATTTCAGAATTTCAGAAAAGGAGAAAGCGGGCTAAAATTAAAAAAAAAAAACACAACACCTCAAAAGGTAGTAATATTTGCTGCTAAAATAGCATTTCATGATTGGATGAATTCCACAAAGCAAACTTCTTTAACTTCTATTTATATATAGGTAGCATCTTTTTTTTGGACAAACATTCAATTACAAAATGCCTTGAAATTTCTCATGAGTATTTGTTTTGTTGTTCTTGAGGACTCTTAACCTTGTAGTTTTATTTAGTTTTCCTTAATTAATTTAATTTTTAAAAAATCCTCACCCAAGGATATGATTTTATTGACTTTAGAGAGAGGAAGAGGGAGAGAAAGGTGGAGTGGGAGGGGAAGGGGAGGGGAGAGAGACTGAGAGAAAAACATGGCATCGGCTGGTTGCCTCCTGTACATGCCCCACCTGGAGATCAAACCTACAGCCTAGGTATATGCCCTGACCATTAATTGAACCCACAGCTTTTTGGTGTATGGGATGACATTCCAACCAACCTTGCCACCTGGTCATGGTTAGTTTTATATATGTAAAAATGGCCCAGAAAATAGGAAATACTAACAATTTCCTATTCTGAATAAACATACTATAAAAAATTTGAAAGTACAGAAAAATATGAACACAAAATAATACACATATACCCAACACGGGTAAAGTAGGATGGGGTTCAAGGTGTATATACTATTTTCTAACTGTGGCATTTTTCAGTTGAAATATATTTTGAATATTTTAAGCCATTATATATTCTTTTATCATTTATATTCCATTATAAGGATATAAATAAAATAACTTGTTTTACCAATCTTTTTCCATGGGTATTTTGTTTGTTTTTAAAAGAATAAAGCCATGATGAGTAGTCATATATGTATCTTTGTGATACATGCTATATATTTCCTTAGAATCAATTCAAGTAACAGAATCATTTTTGCTAAAGGATATAATTTTGAACTCTCTTATAGCTTTTCACATTTTACCCAAAGCTTTTCTCATGAAAATGGCTGTATTCTTACATTCTTGATTATATTTAATCTTAACAGTTTTTTTTTTAGGAAGAATGTCATCTAATTTCATTCTGCATTTTAAAGATTGTTATGTGATACACATTCTTTATAGCAATATTAGCAATATACATATTATCTCTTATCATTTGCTTGATCATGTACTCCTCCCACATTAAAATCGGTATATTCTTAATTTTTGGATTACCTCTATAAAACTAAGTCACCAATCTGAAATCCCTATAATGGTGACTGAAAATTGTTACTATGTTATGTTCAATAAGCTTTAATACCATTGATAAAATGATAAAATACTCAGTTGCTTCCACAGTTATTTGAAAAAATATTGAAAAAGTATAGTAATTTTTAAAAGAAAAAAGAGTAATAATATTTAAAATAAAAACATCTACAATTAAAATTCCTGTTGATTGGTTTCATACTTAATACTTTGGAGTTTGAAAATTTTCAGATTTTTACAAGGCAAAAATATTGCATATAGTAATAACCCCCTTGAAATAAATCACATAAATAGTTCTGCAATGAAGAGTACAAATATTGAAATACGAGGATAAATTAAAAGTATGACAGCTTCACATCTGTTCAGGTCAGGTTAGGTTTTGCCAATGTCTGAATTACAAAGATCAGTTTTCAGAGCTTTTAGAATTTAGAACTGCAGATAAGCATTGTAGACCTGGATTATTTGAATGTAAAAGATAAATCTATCTTGTATTAAATGTCAATCAGAATTTCTACCTAGCAAGGGTCATGTTGGTTAATTTGACCAGACCTGTTTGAAAGCAAAAGCTCACTTTAATAAACAGAATATATCCAGAGAAAAAACATGAAGAGTTTACCAATATGTTCTTCTATATACATTTTTCGCGGGGGCTGAGAGTTTATATTACATGCTCAGTCCACATTTTTGAGAATCTTGTAATATTTGGGCTGACAAAGAAAGGTTCCCTTGATTCCCTTCTCTCAAACAGGTGTTAGGCGATAGTCAAGGTTCTGAAATCCATCCTTAAAAAGTACTTGTCAATAAACAAATTCCTTTAAATGTGATACAAAAGGAAAGTTTAAAGCCTTCCATTTTCTAACCAAACCAAATTCTGAATTAATTGGAGATGAGTAAATAATTTTGTATGCATTTATGCAATGCCATGAATATCGGCCTGAATGTTCTATTGAATTCCATGAATGAACTAAACTGTCCCAATGAGTGATGAAAATTAGCCCAAAAGAAAATATATCTAAGAAGAAATGACGATTTGACACAATAGTATGTTCAAATAGGCAATTCTAGAAGACTGTATTCTAGAATATTTTAGTAATGGTCACGCCATTGAAACATGATATATTCTCTAAGGAAAGGTTCCTCCACCTTAGACTATTGATTATTCTTTGCTGGGGGCGGGGGTGGGGTGTCTTGTGATAAACAGCACACTTGATGTCTCCTCACTAGATTGCCTCCAGCTGAGAAACACTGCTGCTCTATGGTAAATAGTTTGGAGGGAAAAACAGCCATTTGCATACATGTTTATGGTTTGTTAAAATATTCGGTTATGTTTCTCACCATACACTAAATATTTTTTATATGCAAGACATCATATCCAAATAACTATATAACTAGTTTTTATGTATGGAAGAAAGAGTTCTACATACTAATTTTTGAAAAAGTGAAAGGCTGGCAACAGTTTCTATACTGTTACAATAAAATAGGTCACAATGAATGTCACTGAGGGCTAAAAGCTCATATGAAATAACTGTACAAGGCTTTTAATTTTCTCTTTATCACATAAGGTATAGTTATGCATTAGTATCCATTAAATCTACCATACATTTTAATCATCATATATCTTTAATTAATAAATAGTCTTTGGTTGCTTGTTCTTTATCAGCACAATATAATTTAGGATTGTAAACACAGTCAAAATGCAGAATAAATCTCAGTAATCAACTCAACTGTGGTTGTGGGGGCTAATCTATTGCATCAAAAATTTTCTGGGGTAACTGTGTGCTCTAATTATTTTTTGTTTCTATAGACAGCTTATTCAATTATTTAGTTATGTGTTATTTAAAAAGTTTCATGTGGTTGTGAAAATACACTTTAGAAGATGAGTGCTCGAATCATAACCAAAGTGCTTTATAAACTTCCTGTGCATCAACAGTTAAAGAGAAGAGAGACTTCCATTCCTGCACAAATTTATGAGTTCAAACTACAGTTCCACCAGTGCTTTTCAGATACTGATGCAAGTACAAATGAAATTTCCATATTTCAAAATCCATTTACTGTGCACCTGAGACACTTTCCCCTAACTTTTAATTGCAAGTAATTAGTCTGCACTGTAATTACATGCTAAATGGGAACTATTAATAGACTCTAATTGTAAAAATGTTTGTCAAGTGATGAATATACTCAATTAAAATCACACACTCATTGACTAATATCAAAACCTGCCAGTACCTATCTGTGTGAAAGACATTTTAAAAGATGATATGAATGTTGAATCTCATTCATATTGGCATTAATAAACGAGTATTTGTGAGCAATTTTGATGATAGGGATACCTAACTTTATTTAACCCACGAAAAAGCAAAATTCACCCCCCCAAATTCTATTCTCACGAGATCTATATTGTTATTACTGCTTTTTTTAGTTTCATAAATAAAAAACCTGCAAAAAATGGTGTTTTTTTCATTACATAAGTGCCTACATAATATTCTCATTAAGCCTCTTGGCCCACTCAACCCAAAATATTTATTATCTGGCACTTTAGAGAAAAAGCTTGCCAATCCCAGATCTAGGTCACGATTCTACGCTGGCAATCTGGGCTGGGCTCAGCTGGACAGTTCTCCTGGTCTTGGCTGAGCTCTCCCAGGTATCTGTAGTCAACTGCTGGGGCCGTCTTGGCTATTATTGCTAGAGCGGAATCAGACAGAAGAGCCTGTTTCTCCTTCCCGTGGTCTCCCATCCTCCAGCAGACTAGCTCAGGACTTTTCACATAGTTGCTGGACAGACTTGCAAAAGAGTGAAAAAATGTAAGGTCTCTTTTAAGACTTGGGCATGGAAATGGCACAGTGTTACTAAAGCAACTTTGTATTGGCTAGAGCAAATATGTATTATGAACTGATCTCCCAATTTTAATTGTGTAAATATTTAGTCATTATTTTCAAATATATCAGAAATTCTATTATGTTTATCTTCTTGGAGACATGTCTCCAAACTGGATTGGTTATTCTCTAGCTCTGTTACCTAACTGTCTATTTTGGGATCTCCCTCAGACTTATTTCTGGGGATCCATGGTATCTCTCTTGAATAGTATCTCCAACTTTCTAAACACCACGAGATTCTTCCTTTTTGTTCTGATAGAGCACCTCACCTCAGGA